ATATATATATATATATACTTATATTTCTTTTCTTTTGTCCACTCCCAGAGAGTGGGAGAAAAACTTCTTTTCCCAGAAGAGGGGAAGAAGAATGAAAAAAAAAAAAAAAAGCACTGAATCAATTAATGAACAACAACAACAACACACAAACACAAAGAAAAAGAAATAAATACACAGAGAGTGATATATTTATACTTATTATATTTATGTAAACTCACTCTCAAGATCCCATTGGTAGCATCTCTTCATCTTCCAATTCTTTACTCTTTATATCACGTACACCGCATAAGAAAAAAAGTTACGGAATGTACAAATCAAAAATATCCCCCTTTTCTATTTTACATCACACGCACACACATGTACAGACAAAAAAAAAAAAACACGTTTTTTCTTTTCATTATTTATTTAATTAAATCCTATTCTATTCTACTATTATTATCCCTATTACCACCACTATTATTAGTATTATTAATATTATTATTATCATTATTACTATTATTATTATTACTATTACCATTCCTATTCATTCCAGGCCTCTCTCTCTCTCCTACGTCTCGCACACTTTCCTCATCTTCCTCCTGTGTGAACTGCCGCACTACTTTGGGATTACGACACCGCACGTACACTCGCGGCCGCCGCAGTTCAGTGATGTGCACAACAGTCGGCTGTTCAATCCGCACAACGGCCTCACCGTCCACCTGAACACTCAGCGGTGTGTGTGTAGTGTCGTGTTTCTTTGATTTCGGCCCACTCATATTATTATTATTATTATTATTATTATTATTATTATTATTATTATTATTATTATTATTACTATTAATATTATTAATATTACTATTATGATCTTCCATATCAATTTCCTCATGTGCTGCTAGAGATGATGGACGACGCGAGAGATCTCCAGGTGTACAGAGAATAAACATATATAATTCACTTGATTGAGCGAGTTTAGATGCCCCACTACCAATACCTAACTGCAGCATTCCCATTTTAAATAAACCATCAATGGCTTGTAATTCTATTTTATGATCATTAATACTTACAGGAGTAATAAGCATAGGATCTGTATTGGGTGTATCCCGGTATAAATCCCCTTTTGTCTCTTTCCATGGTCGTGTACCAGCAGCGTAGGAATTTACATTTGTTACTAATAATGTTTTACTCTTATGTGGAAGCTTTAGAGTTGCCATTCTGTGCATATTGTTCATCATACTATTTGTTGAATTATACAACTGAGCTGCACCCTTATTAGTA